ACTCAATTCTCACATACTATTAAAACAATAAATCTAACACCCCAAAGTTATAGACCCTAAAACCTACACAATCCTAAATTTACACACCCCTAAAACTACAAATTATTGCACTTACAGACCCCCAAACCTATAATTTACTACTTATAAACCGTAAACTCAGAAACGTAATACCCTCATATCACTAAACTCATGAGTTTATATCTCTAATAGGTTAATATCCATAAACCCCAAACTAAAAAAATTTAAATCATGAAACCCAAACCCACAAACCACATATCACCAAACTTATTAACTTACAAACCCCAAAGTCCTCAAATCTACAAACCATAAACTCACATACTATAATCCCCCAAATCACCAAACTCATTAACCCACAAACTCGAAACTTTTAAGCCCCTGACTCACACACGTACCTAATCGATTTGGGTATATATGGCTTGGGTATATTTGCAATTTGTGAGTGAGGTTTGTGGGTTTAGGGGTATGTGGGTTCGGGTTTTAGGTTAATTGGTTTTTGAATTGGTTGGTTTCGGGGTTAGTTGGCTTAAGGTTTGTTGGTTTAGGGTTTGCGGGTTTGAGGTTGTGGGTTCGTAATTCGTGGATTTGGGTTAAATGTAAGTTGGTTACTTGGCTTGTGGTGTAAAATTTTATTATGTTAAAAAAATAAGCGACTATACTATTTGTTCCCAGGGTTAGGTGCGTTAACGTGCTTGTGATTTGATAGAGGTGGATTTTAGAGATTAGAGGGTAGATGGTTGGGTTGGTTACTTGGCTTGTGGTGTGAAATTTAATTACCGTATTTTCCGGTGTATAAGACGCACCCTAAAATTTGAAGGCACATTTTGAGAAAAAATGAAAATTTTGATAAAAATATAGTTTTGAGGAAAAAAATTCGTTTAATTGTAATAAAGCACGTCTTTTTTATAAATCAAAGTTATTTACGGGATCATAAAAAAATATTGATATCTGTTAGCCGACGATGATTATATACATTACCGTTGCCCATCTCTTATCACGGAGAGGGCGACAATCGAAAGAAACATTTTTTTTTTTTGTTTTTTAAAGTTTTTTTTGCATTTGTTTGATATTTTTTGTTGTGTTTTATTTATTTTTATTGTTATTTTTTTTAAAGTTTTTTGTATTTTTTGTTGAATTTTTTAGGTTTTCTTTTTGTATTTAAATTTTTTTTTTGTTTTTTTTTTGTTTTTTTTATTTTTGATTCTTTTTTTTAAGTTTTTTTATCTTTTCTTTTTTATTTTTTTGCCTTATTCAAATTTATAAATTTTCGCTCCTTAAATCGGTACTTGTGTTGTAGTCGAATTCGCTGTTGGAGCCATTTGATTCAATTATTGTTCAGAATCACCTTCAGCTCAGAAACCTCACCTTCATGTGTATCTGATTCATAAAGAACATGATCTTGGGAACCATCTAGAGCATTACTGATACCACATTTCAAAAAAGTTTTTTTAACCATTTTCGCATCGACTTTGGACCATGATTCTTTCATCCATTCACAAATTTGAGTCATAGTGGGTCGTTGAAGAGCTCCTAACAGTGAACTTATGCACATTTGAGTCCATCATCCAGTCGTTTCACTTTTCTCTCATAAAAACTATAAACGGTTTATTCAATGAAACATCGAGTGGTTGAAGTATCGAAGTGAGCCCACCAGGTATGATTCCCATTTGTGTAGAATTTTGATGAAATTTTTGTCTTACACAATCTCATAAATGAGACCGAAATTGATCAAGAACCAGAGGTGCTTTTTTCTTCGAGAAACCGCCTTGTCTTCTACACTACACTTTATCAATCCAAATTTTCCTACCACCTTCATCCATCCATCCTTTCGGGTGTACATGTACTATTACACCTGTCGGTATTTTATCCTTAGTTATAGTTTTACGTTTAAAAATGATCATTGGAAGTAGCTTTACATCATCACCACAGCAAGCAAGAACCACAGTGTAGTGGGATTTTTCATGACCACTTGTCTTTATCGTGATAGTTTTTTGTCCTTTTTTCGAAACACTTCTATTTGACGGAACCTCGAAGGTCATAGGTGTTTCGTCCATATTTGCTATCTGTCCGATTTCAAAATTCATTGCTAGTCTACGGTGAATTATTAATTACCGGTAAAAAGAGAGAATTTTGTCTTTGTACTCTTTAGGCATTTTTTGACAAATTTTTGTTTTCACTCGCATAGCTAAACCATTTCGTTTCATGAAGCAGTGATACCATGACGGACCTCCTTTAAAATCATTTATTGGACTTTTTAAAGCTACTTTTTGTGCATGTATGCGTAAGATTTTTGTTGAAACAGCTAAGCTTTTGGAACGATTATCTTCAATCTATAGTTTAACTTTATCCTCTAAAATAAGCCACTTTTCTTTTTTATTACTTTGCGCACGCTTTTATTTATGCATTTGTATCAAATTACTCTTCTGAGAACGCCAAAGCCTTATAGTTTTTTCCGTCGGTGGTGGGCCGAAATGACATTTGGTAGTTCTATTGCCATGTTCTTCAGCAAATTTGATCACTTTCAATTTTTAGCCCGCTGTGTACGATTGTCGTTTGTTAATTTCGCTCATATTGGAATTCAAGTCAGTCTCTTACTTCAAAAAACACTTTTAAAATTATATTAAAATAAACGATGCAACAAAAATACCATTTTTATAAAAAATCTCGTATTAATTATCTAGTACGAGGGTCGTTTGAAAAGTCCGTGCAAAGTCAGAGAGATGGAAGAGCACACACCAAGTTCCAACCAGATCGGCCTATTACTTTGCGTTTTACATTCGTTTCAATCAAACAAATGGATTGGTTGTAAAAAAATGGACGAAAAAGAATTTTGTGTATTTATTAAACATTACTTTTTCAAAGGCAAAACGCCTCAGGAGATTAAACAGAAGCTTGATAAACATTATGGTGATTGTACACCTTCGATTAGAATGGTTTATAAGTGGTTTCAAAATTTTCGGAGAGGCACAAAAGATGCTGAACGTTCTGGACGCCCTGTTGAGGTTACCACTTCAGAAATCATTGATAAAATCCATGATATGGTGATGGCTGACAGAAGAGTGAAGGTGCGTGAGATTGCTAGTACTGTAGGCATCTCGATCAAACGGGTACATAATATTTTGCACCAACATTTGGACATGAAAAAGCTATCCGCTAGATGGGTGCCGCGATTGCTCACGATTGACCAAAAACAAGATCGTGTGAAATGTTGCAATAATGGTTTGCAGCTGTTCCAGCAAAATCCGCAAGACTTTAAGCGTCGTTTCATCACTGTAGATGAAACATAGATACATCACTACACTCCTGAGATCAAAGAACAGTCTAAACAATGGGTTGCCAAGGAGGAATCTGCTCCGATAAAGACGAAGACAATTCCTTCGGCCGGGAAGGTTATGGCGACTGTCTTTTGGGATTCGCAAGGAATAATCTTCATCGACTATCTGGAAAAGGGTAAAACCATTACAGGCGAATATTATTCATCGTTATTGGATCGTTTGAAAACCGAGTTACTAGAGAAACGTCCACGATTGGCCCACAAAAAAGTCCTCTTCCACCACGACAATGCGCCAGCTCACGCCTCAGCAGTTGTGGCCGCAAAACTGATGGAGATAGGGTTCCAACTCGTTTCACGTCCCCTCTATTCTCCAAACTTGGCTCCGTCGGACTACTATTTGTTCCCTAATATGAAAAAATGGCTGGCGGGGAAAAGATTTTATTCAAAGGAGGAGGTGATTGCAGAAACGAATACCTATTTTACAGACTTGGACAAATCCTATTATTTGGAAGGGATTAACAAACTAGAGCAGCGTTGGATGAAGTGTATAAGCCTAAAAGGAGACTATGTTGAAAAATAAAAAAGATTTATTAAAAAAATCAAGCAGTTTTTATTTTTGCACGGTCTTTTCAAACTACCCTCGTATATTATGCGACGTTTTTTGATCCCAAGTGGCATATAGGTACTAGGTATTTTTTATCATCCTCAGACATAAAGTATGTTTACTATATTATTATATTATAACATATATAGCATATATTATTAAAATAATAAAAAACTTACCTATTAAATAAGTAATCACTCTTTGTCATCTGCTAGTTTTGAAAGATATTCATAGGTAGTGAGGGTTGCCTAATTGCTACTATCCTGGCGCACATTTTAGTTAGGTTAGTGGGTTTGGGGTATATAGGTTTGGGGTTTGAAGTATCTTACATTCGGTGTATAAGACGCAGGTTGATTTTGGAGTCAGCATGACTGGTTATTATGTGTTTGAAAATAATTGCAATTTTTCATTCATAACTTTTTTAGCGTTGCCGTAACCAAAAGTCAAAAAATACGATCTTGTTCTAATTAAAATAAGGAACCTAACAGCTTTTCGAAAATTAATGTGCCTTCCAAATTGAATAAACTGTGCGTGAAAATATATAAGGTCTTGCATACGTGATTCGCTTTTAAAAATGTATTTTTATAGTGGCACATCTACAAATTTAATACAAACGGTACTCACCCCTGTGTGAACCACTTCTTTTTGTGCCAGAATTATACCATAAAAATGCTCATTCTCAAAAGACGCTGGATTCAATATTACAATCCTGGCAAACCATGACCTTTTCTGATAATTTTTAACCTTTATCTTCTTTTTTATCATTTTCAGTTATATATTAATGATCAGCTATAATAGTTGATCTATTCAAATAAAAATGTAGACAGACTCATAAAAAAAATTATTTTATAAGTAAATTTGATTTTTACCGATGAAAATTGTTGAGCATTCAAAAAAAAATGCATCACGCTGGTAGATTTACAACTTATAGGACTCATTAAACATATCTACGTTGATTAAAACCATGCCTTCATTAAAAAAAAATTCACGAAAAATCAACGATTCCATAGATATGCCCTATACAATGGCGCACTATCAAAAAATAAATTTATATAAAATTCTATAATTCAGGAAAATTCTAATCATTTTAATATTATTTTCCAGATGCTATTGCTAGTTCAGAGAATGTTCGAATAGCGCCATCACTCAGAAGTCAGAAAGGTATTGTATTGTTTTCAATAATTCATTGATTTTATATGTTTAATTAATTTGTAACTGTAACAAATATGTCAATTGATAAAAGTGGCTTGTATGATATTGTTCATTATTGCTTGAGAAGACTATCTAAAAAAATATCGAATTTTCAAAAGATGTCGTACAATTTCTTTTTCTCTCTCAAACACATATTTATACATACAAACATATACACTCCCATCTAATAATTTTTGGCCACCCGAGAACAAAATGACTGTAACTTTGAAGCTCTACATTTCAGCTGGAAATGAACCTACAGAGTTTTAAGGCAGTCCATTTGAAAGATCCTTTCAAGCCTTTTTGAATCGTGTATATTAGAATTATGCAAAGATAGTTTTCTTGCGTATAGTAAGGCAAATGACGAAATTTTTGTCATATCTTTATCCACTCGCCATTTTAAGAAAAAAATAGAAAAAATTAAAAAAAATTGTTATGTAGTTCTTTTCTTGTATTATGCAAAACACTTATTAAAAAATATTTTTTATTTAAATTCAGCAATTATATAAGCGTTTTCTTCAGAAATAGCATCTATATTCATTGCTCTTGATCTTGGAAAATTCGTATTCGATTTAGGAAAATCGCATAAAAAAATTTACTTGAAAGAAAATATTTTATTTTGTAAGAGTAACACATAAAAAAAATTATCAGTCATAATATAAAACCTCCTAAGTTCATCAATATTCTATTTTTTTTCACTTTGGAAGAATAATAAAGATCGTATATATTTGAAGCTATTCTTTCTATTATAGACAAATTTCATTTGCATGTATATTATTATGTTTTCGTCAGCAAAAAGTCTGACTTAGTGTAACAAATATTAAGAATTAGTCAAAAAAGTTGTCTACTTTATTTAAACTTAAAATTTATATTACATCATTTATATCATTTAATAACGAGCAGCCTGTACCTCCTTATGCCTCTCTCTTCCCATAGCCAGTGTCATGTCGTACCGTATCGTCGTATAGACCCTTAGCTCATAGGACTTTACGCATGGCAAGGTTATGGCCAGTGTTTTTTGGGATTATCTTCGTTAACTATTTAGAAAAAGGACAAACAATCATCACAGAGTATTATGCGTCGTTGTTGGACCAGTTAAGCGATAAAATAAAGGAAAAACGTCTTCATTTGAACAAAAAATATTCTGTTTCTTCAAGACAATGCACGAGTACACACTTACCTAGTTTCAACGGTTAAAATTATGGAATTGAAATTAATAGATCATCCACCGTATCCACCAGATTTGGCCCCTAGTGACTTTTTTTTATTTCCAAACTTAAAAAAGTGATTTGCCAGACCACGATCCATCTCGAACTAGGAGGTCATAACACAAACAAATGGTTATTTTGAGGAACTTCCAAAATTATTTTTTCTGATGGCTTAAAAAAACTTGAAGGACATCTAGAAAAGTGTAACGAGCTACAAGGAGATTATATTGTAAAATAAAAAAAATTATTTTTCTATCTTTTTCTAAGGAGTTATTAACCCACCCTCGTACTAAAACTAAGGTAGAAAAACTAAGAGGAGTTCTCATTACAGCGAATACGCTAAAACAAATAGTCGAGGAACTTGAAAATAATGTATCGAGACTATAGAGTGAAAACGCAAAGCTCGAAAGTACAATCAAGAGTTTACGTCAACAAATGAAATTAATGACAGAAGCCATCAACAATTAGGAAACAATAAGGCAGGATAAAAATAGCTATTTTAGAGATACTTACAACCTTACCGACCCCGATTTTGATTTAACTACGTTAGCAGAAAGACCAAGGTTGAATCTAAACGCAGCTCTGTGGAAGAAAATTCCTGTTCAGATCATATAACCAAAGACAAGATTTTGGATACACTATCAACGCTTCTCAAAGGTTGAGCACTTTACTGGTACCACTCCTTTAGCTGATATGCTAATGCTTCTCGAATGGAGTCTTGCACGATTGTTTATATCGATGATGGCGTTGTGATATCGGAAATTCTTGTCCGATTATGCGAGCATAGCGAGCATCAGCTTGCTATGCTAACTAAGAAAGACACGAAGTATGTGTGAACTGAAGCGCAGCAAAACGCTTATGAGTGCATCAAAGCACTGATTGCTACTGTCCCTGTCTTGTCTAAGCCAGACTATGCGGCTCCATTCATCGTTAAATGCAACGCTAACGATTCAGGATGAGATAGAGTCCTCTTACAGCATATAGGAGAAGAAGACAGAATACTCTGTTATGCAAGTTGAGCACTCAGTGCTACCGAGCACAGACTTTCGGTGACAGAAAGTGAGCGTCTTTTACAAGGGAACCACCCCAACCCGACCTCACCGAGTCGGATGATTTTGGGATATGTTGTAAAAAAATTAGATACCTGTTTTTTTTATCGGCCCATAAGGGCTTTTAAGGGGTGAAATCCACCCTGAAAATCAATCTCTAAAATCAGTTTTTTTAATACGATACATATAGCTGTGTATAAAAGAGTAATAATAATAGTTATTATTTTTTAAACATAAAGTTAATTCGTAATAAAGAAAAATAACAAGTAATAACAGTTAAAAATTATTAATTTCAAAAGTGGAAGTTTAATATAGTTTTTATTTCTTTTTTAATCATTTACAATTTGTCAATGAAAAAAGAAAATATAACATATAATTGATTATATTAATAATTATAAATAGTTATTATAGTCTCAATTCCTATACTTATAAACTGTTTACTTTTTTCAATTTTCACTTGTGGTTTAGTTTACTTTTTGTTGGTACTTTACTTTGCTGTACACTTTATCTTATTTACAATTTTGTCTTATCAATGGCTCGAAGAAGATAAGTTATATCAAATCTTCGCCCCTTACGATAATAAGATTTCCGATACATATTTCATTATTCATAGTACTTGAAGAAAAGTCAAAAGTTAAGTTTAAAAAGTTAAAGTTTTTTTATAGTGCTGGATTTATAAATAAACTTATTTCTATATTTACATACTAATTTCCCGAACACGAAAATATAGTACATACCAAGAAAAAAAGTTTTTGTCTACTACGTAAGTATTTATGTCACTTATCATATATAATTTTATTCAAATATTTTGATTTGTAAACATGTGAAATATAACTGTTAAAAACGTATGATCGAATTCTATCTATAGACTAGGTTTTCTTTTGTCTTTTGTAAAATTATTCAACTGCAAAAAAGAGTATTTATATCTTGATTTTGTTTTAGATTAAAACATGAAGATCAATCCTTTGAATGTAGTGAATTTATTATTAGCATATTTTCAAAGTTTACAAATACCAGATAGCGAGATTAATTTCAAAAAAATTAAATTGTCAGAAAAGTTGAAAGAAATATTAATAGATGCCGTGTATGAGTTTAATGATATTGACATGATTGTTGAAGAGACGTTAGATTTTCATGAAGATTATAAAGATACTGATGCTAAAATCATCGAAGATGAAGTTCAACATCACTTTCCTGATCCTGATTTTGCACCAACAAATCAGTGCACAAATGATGATGAAGAAATCACATTTGATTATAAACAAAGAGCCGTAGAATTTTGGAAGAGCGGAAAAAACAAAAACTTAAAACTAGATACTGTACAACATAGATTCAAAAAAGTTTCATCTATAAGTCAAGTTAAACGTTGGGCGAAAACAATTAATAAAAATGGAACTTACCGAGAAAAAATTACGCGAATTTGCCAATACCCGTTTGATAATTTAAAAGCCGCTATTGCAGTTGGTACGATAGTGCATGATCGAGATATACGGAAATGGGCATTGCAAGTTCAAAAAATTGTTGGTCATGAAGATATAAGATTTAAGGCTTCTCAAAATTGGTTACTAAAATTTAAAAAAGCTCATAGAATAGTATCTAGAAAAATAAATAAATTTATCACAAAAAAACATTATAAAGTAAAGAAGAACTACAAACTAATACTGATGCTTTTGTAGCTGATGTTAAATCATGTATACCAGAAATCGGCATTGCAACCTTTTATAATTCAGATCAGAGTGGTTTCCAATTAGAAATGCACTCGGGAAGAACATTAGCAGTTGAAGGTGAAAAGCATTTGCAATGTCTGGTACAGTCGGTTTCATCAACAACGCAAAGTTATACAATTCAGCCAACTATATCAGCAACAGGGAAACTTTTCTCACCACTTTTTAGTATTAAAAGAAAAAAGTGATCAATTCGGTCCTATAGTGGAATCCTCATTATTTAGACCAGAAAATGTTCATGTGGAATCACCTAAATCTGGAAAATTAACGACAAGTTAGTATATTTTTGTTTATTATAATGCAATGACATAAAAAAATCTTGACATTTTTTTATTTTCGATTATTTTAGAATTTGGTTGAAAGAAGTTTTTTACCTAAATGTTGGACCTCAATCTGTACTTTTACTCGACTCTTGGAGTGGACATTGCGATAAAGCTGTAAGGGAAACGATGCCGACAAACAAAATTGTTAATATAAAAAAAATTCCCACAGGAACGACAGGGTACATCCAACCACTCGATGTTTATGGATTTCGTATTTGGAAAAACTTCGTTCGACGTTTATCAAATCAAGTAATTTTGATGGACTATGAAATGAATCTACATTTAAGAAATAACATCATAAAAATGCAGTCTCTTGTCCATAACCAGCTTTCTTCTACAAGTGTTTTCTTATGATGTTTTTTCTTATACAAGCGTTCATGAGGGCTCGAAACTAACACCATACGAATGCGTATACGGTAAACTAGCCCGCGTGCACGGTCCAAAAACTTCGCTCGAAGAAGACACTGTCGATACGTACTGTGATTACGTATCTAGACTTAAGGAGCGATTGGCCGATGTACAAGAACTGGCTCGGAAAAATTTAATAAATACTAAAATACGCTCAAAAAAATTTTACGATAGAAGATGTAACCCCTGCATTTTTAAAGTAGGAGATTATATTATGTAACTATTAGAGCCAAGATCTGGAACGCACGTGCCCCAATA